AGCAGCAGCAGCAGCAGCCGCAGCAGCAGCAGCCGCCCACCTGCTCGGGCACGCCCTCGTCGTCGCGTAACCGCCGTAGGTGCCGGGCGGAGGAGGCCGCCTGGCTTGACGCCAAGCACGACAACGAGTCCCTGGTCCGCGGGCTGAGAGAGCAGGGCCGCGACGCCTTTCGCGCCCACCTCGACGTCGAGTACCACCCGCGAGGGGTCGCCGAGGCGCGGGCAGCCAGCGACGCGGTCTTTGGGGAGCCCTGGTGGGCGGGGTGGGGCGAGGGTGGGTGGGGGTGGGGGGGGGGAGGCGCGTGGAGCGAGCAGCGGACTGCGCGCAGAGGCGGATGCGGGAGCGGGGCGCACCTCGGCTGTGCCTCGGCGAGAGGGCCTCTGCTAGATCTCGACGGCGCCTCGGCCAGGAGGCTTCGGCGATGTCTCGCTCATCAATCTCGCATCGATCTCGCTCAGGCGCTGCTGCGCGAGCTGGCGTACGTGCTCGACGACGACTGCGCCACGCGCCGCTACAAGGACTGGTACAATGCGCGGCCGCGCTCGAGCGGCATGTCCAAGAACGGCTACCTCTACCTGCCCGCGGCGGCGCGGTTCCTCGCCGCCGGCGCAGAGGCGGACGGCGCCGCGCCCGAGTCCGCGACGCGGTGCGGCGTCGGGGAGGAGATGCTGATGGAGGAGGCGACGCACGCCAAGCGCGGCCGGCGAGCAGGTCGAGACAGGAGGTGGAGCCATACGACGAAGTGAAGAGCGAATGCGGGGGGCGCTCGACACGGGGTCCCGACCCGACAGGGAGAGGGGTGGGTGGGTGCATGGACTGAGGGACCGTTACACAGAGAGTGGAGTCAGTTAGACGGGAGTGCGCGACTGCGCGAGACGTTTTACAACAACATGACGTGTACATGTACATGTGTGTGCATCGTTCTTGTGAACGATGTGCTTGTGTTGGCTCGCGCGGCTCTCGGTCTCGCGCACACTGTGCGTCCTTTTTGTTTTCTTATTTCACCTCGCTGTCCAGGTTGTGAATATTTTTACTCGTTTTTGAGGTCTCGTCTCTCGTGACTCGTCAAAACGTCACGTCAAAAAAAGTACAAAGTCATGCACAAGCTTCCGGGGCGATAGTTCAAGGGTGTGGTGGCACTGGGCACAGGCAGCATAGACAAGAGACAAGTTAGCGTGGGGTGCGGCACAGGTCAAGGCAAGGCACAAGCTTGTTCAGGGTAGCAGTCAATCATGGGGGAGAGCCCGGGGACGAGGGGGTGGTGGCGAACATGTCGCGCCCGGGTAGGAATAACAACCAGCAGTGGCGTCGGCAGGACACAGCGAGCACCTCACGGTGCCGCCGGCGGCTCGGGTGCCACGGGGTAGGCTACAAGCGGCTGCGCCGGGGGCATGTACTGCGGAACGAGCGGCGAGGAGCGGCGCGGAGACATGAGCGGCGCGAGCGCCGGCGAGGGACTGCTCGTTTGCTGCATGGCGTACGCGGCGGCTGGCATCGCGACGAGGGGGCTGCTCGTTTGCTTCATGGCGTACGCGCCAGCAAAGGCTGGCGGGGCCAGCTGCTCGCGCCTTGCCGAGGTCTGTTGGCAGATGCGGCCAATGCATGGCTTCTTGCGGATGCCCGCGCCGCCAAACTTGGGCTTGTCGCGGCACTCCTTGCACACGCCGCAGTCAGGCGCGCGGCACGCCGGGCAGGTCCCGCATCGGCGCATGATGGAGCTCGCCTTGGGCTTGGCCGCGTTTGCCGGGAGGTAGGCGGGCGCCGCCTTGGGCTTGACCAGGCCGGCGGCGGGCTTGCGCGAGAAGGAGCGCGCGGCAGCGAGCAGCAGCTCGTAGCTCGGCCCCGTCTCCTCCTTGTGTGGCGCGAAGCTCGCAATGTCCTCAGCATCGCCCTCGTCGGAGAACGCAGGCTTGTGCGCGTTGACGAGCCGAATGCGCTTGCGGTCGGGCCTGTCGGGCGAGACGGAGTCGGAGTCGGCATTCTGGGCGCGCAGCGCGTCTTGCCGCCGCCAGAAGAGGTCCCACTCCGCGTCGTTCATCAGGCGGCACGTCTCCATGGGGTCAGTTCGGGTTTGCGACGCGACGAGGCGAGGACTTGGGCGACCTCCTTTTGACAGCACGTCGCCAAGGACGTTCGAGTTTTTCGCCGATAACGATTGGGGTAGGGGCCCTAACTCGTGATAGGCCACTAGTTTCCCGCAGGAGACTCACGGAGATCCTCTCCTCTCCTACCTCTTCTTCTGCCTCTGCGTCCTTCACGGACTCTCCGTGGACATCTTTTACTTCATCTTTTACGGAAGTTTGAACTTCCGTGCGTGTCGGGCGCTCCCGCCCGCTCGCTGCTCTGATGAGCGCGGCTTCCGCTGCTCTCTCCTGCTCACCTGGCCATGACGCCGCTCCTCGTCCTTGGCCGCGCCAGGCTCTCCTTCCTACTGCGCCAGCCCTTCGGCTGCACCAGTTCTTTCTTCTCCGTGCAGGATCTGTGCGTCTGCGCCATTGTTGCTGTTGCTGGCGACTGTCCTTGGCAGCAGTGCACGATGGGCGATGGCCTCATCTGCTTGCCTGCGATGCTCTGCGGTCGCCTCGGCCCTGCCACAGCGGCCTCGTCCACCTGGAGACCTGAGTCGGTGGCTCCACAGCCCGCTCTGAGGAATGCTGTTGCATCTCAACTCGTGGCGTGCCTCTCTCTTCTCTCCGGCCTCGTGCTGCAGATGTGGCTGAGCTCTGCGCTCAGGTGGCTCTGGGATATCTCCTTTACAGGCAGCACCCCAGTGCCTCGTGGGCGGCGTGGCGGGCGGCCAGCTGTCACTGCTGCCTTCCCTCTCGAGTGAGCCTAGCGCGGGTGTCCTCGAGCCCGAAAGTGTCCAAGGGACTAAAGCAAGCGTAAGCCGCCCACCGCCGGCCGCCCACCGCTGTGCCCAACAATGGCGAGTCTTGACGCCGCCTACGACTCCGACAGCGACTCGCACGGCGAGGCCACCTTTGCTGTCAAGGGCCGAAGACTCTCGCTCGAGGAGGTGCTCGCCGAGGTTGAGAACAAGCCGCCTCCGATCGGCAGCGGCGGCGACGAGTTTGCCTCGCCGCGGCAGCGCTCCGCCTCGCTCGTCAACCCGCCCAAGCGCAAGAGCCTGCTCGAGCAGATCGACACCGACTTCCCGGGAACCCGCTCCTCGCAGATGGCACGGCGCTCTCTGCCGGGCGGCGACCGCTCGTCCGCTGGCGGGACTGAGCGCCGCTCCTCGCAGGCCGCGGGCGGCGCCGGGCGCCCACCGCTCGAGAGCCTGGTCGTGAGCGACGCGGCGCAGGACCCCGCGCCGGCCGCGAGTGCCGAAAAGCCGGTCGCGGCGACGCCGCGCCGCCCGACGCCGCCGTCGCCTGCTGACGCTCGCGAGCAGATGCGACGCGTGGCGGCGGCGGCGGCCGGGCCGCACGGCCTGACCAGCGTATGGACGCAGCCCGTCGCGTGCTCGCCGCGTGCGCCGTCTCAGCCCATGGTGCCTCCCGCGGCTTCGCTGACCGCGCCCTCTCCGGCGACCCGGACGCCACGCCGGCGCGGGAGGAAGAACCGGCCGCCGACGCTCGACTCGCCGATGCTCTTCTCGCCCGACGACAGCGGCGCGCCGCGCTGGCCGCTGCCGCCGACGCCGCAGTCCGAGTGGTCCGGCTTCCTCCCCGCCTGGAGCGAGTGGGCGGGCGAGTCGGTCGGCTGGGCCGAGCCCATCTCCTCGCCCGGAGGATGGACGGCTGTCGACGAGCACGGCTCCCCGCTCATGGCCATGTCGCTGGACTCGCCAGTGGAGATGGCGCCGATGGCGGCCGAGATGCCCGGCCCGATGCGGGGCGCGCAGATGCGGGTGCTGCCGCAGCAGCCGATGCAGATGCCCATGCCGATGATGCTGCCGCAGCAGTATGTCCTCGTTGCGCCGCCGCAGCAGCAGCAGCAGTTTGTGGCGGCGATGCCGTACCCGATGCAGATGCACGGCTTCATCCCGATGGGCCAGCCCATGGCGTGGCAGGCGATGCCGCCGCAGGCGATGCCGCAGCAGCAGCCGCAGCAGCCGCAGCAGCAGCAGCCGCAGCAGCTGCAGCAGCCGCCGCAGCAGCCGCAGCAGCAGCCGCCGCCGCAGCGGGGCACGTCCTCGCCGCCCGGCGCCACGGCGGGCGGCAAGGTGCCGTGGGGCTCCCTCGTCGCCACCGCGATGGACCCCAAGGGGTCGAGGGAGCTGCAGCAGCTGCTGCCGAAGCTGTCCAAGGGGCAGCTGGCGCGCGCGCGCGACGAGCTGGCACCGCACATGCACGCGCTCTCGAGGCACACGTTTGGCAACTACCTTGTGTCCAAGCTCGCGCCGCTCGCGCCGATGCACGCCGCCCTCGCGGCCGCCTTCCGCGGGCGCGTCGTCGAGCTCCTCTGCCACGCGCAGGGCTCGCGCGTCGTTCAGGCCTACCTTGCCGCCGCGGCGCCAGCCGAGGCGGAGTCGCTGGTGTCGGAGCTCGACGGGCACGTGGTGGAGTGCGCGCTCGACACGCACGGCTCGTGGGGCGTCTGCGTCGCCTACAGCGCCACGCACGCCCCCTTCCTGCTGCGCCAGATCTCGGCGAGCGTCGTCCAGCTCTCCCTCGAGCAGCACGGCTGCCGCGTCGTGCAGTCGGTCCTGCAGGAGGCGGGCAACGCGGGCGTCGACTGCTCAGCGGCGGTCGGCCGCATCATCGGCGGCGGGCTCGAGGAGCTCGCCCTCCACCGCTTCGCAAACTACGCCGTCCAGGTCGCGCTGCGCCAGTGCGGCGCCGCCCAGCGCGAAGCGATGCTCGGCGCGCTGATGCCTCGGCTGCTGCCGCTCTCGGCGAGCAAGCACGGCTCAAATGTCGCCGAGGTGGTGCTCTCGCTCGCGTCGGGTCCGCTGCTCGACGCCGCCGCCGAGTCCATCTTTGGCGCCGGCGAGCCCGCCTCCGCGGCGCTGCGGCAGCTCGTCGAGCACCAGTTTGGAAACTACGTGCTGCAGACGCTGCTGCGCCGTCTCGCCGACGGGCCACGCCGCGCCGCCGCGCTCGCAAAGGTGCGCGAGGCGACGACGGCGACCAACTTTGGGCGCTCGATCCTCTCCCGATTGGGCGAGGCCGAGGCGGCGTGAGCGGCCCGCCGCCTCCGCACTCTAAACTCTGTTCTGTGCGCTCGCGCATCTGGGCCGCGGCACTGTCGTTCTTGTCCCATGTCTGTGCGCTCGCCCACCTCACTCGTTGGATAGTGGTGAGGGAGAGCGCGAGGGGGCACTTCGGCGGGAGGGAAGGGTGCCTCGAGGACGCCGATCGCTCTCGCCGGGAAGGGGGGGGGGGGGGGCTTGGGACCCGCGGCGCGGAGGGGGGGCGTGTGTGGGATCTCGGTTTGTAGTCTCCGCGTATCTGAATCTGTGTACATAGAGAGCGTCGTCTCCGAAAGAAAACACAACCAGGTGGGGGGTGGCCGCATGGGATGTGGCGGGGGGAAGCACAGACACCGCGTCCGGCGTCCCGACCTTGCTCCTTCCACCCCCCCCTCATTTACCTTGTGCACCGCCTCGTTATACGGCTTTATCCTTCGTGACGAAAAACGAAGAAGCACCAAGCTCAAGTCTCAAATCTCTAGTCTCAAATCTCTGCGTGGGTAGCACTGTAGACCCGAGTGGAGTCCTGAGTGGAGTCTTTCAAATCTTTTTAAGCTCTCAATCTCTAAAAAAAAAGACAAGAGAGGGGTAGGGAGGCGGGAAAAGCCAAAAAAGCCGTCCAAAAAGCCACAAAAAGCCAGCTCGCCTCCCGTTACGCGATTGCTCGCGAAGCGCAGCATGAAAAGACTAAAGATTTCCATTACTCGTTTGGCGCCCTAGCCAGCAGCGCGCCGCACTCGCACGCAAGACCCGGGCTCCGTGCTCACTCACGCCCAGCCTGAGCCACCGCCTCCCGCAGAAGGCTGGCCGCTGCAGACGCCCCATATACGCGGGCTACAAGTTTCTCCGAGACCTCGCGAGCGGTGCGGGCAGGGCAGCACGGCACGGCAGGGCCGGGCAGTTGGGGTCGATATACCTGAGACAGCCAGTGCCGACACAATTGTGTTGTAATGCGCCTACTCCTCCCCATCTTCTGCCTCGCCCTCGCGCCGCGAGCCGCGGGCGAGCTCGTCTCAGCCGTGCTGCTCCTGCACGACGACGACTTCCACACCTTCCGCCAGGTCTCGGCGGCGCTCGAGCGGCTCGGGCTGTCTCCTCCGCAGGCGCTGCTCGTCACTTCGGATGTGAACGCGATGGGCATCGGCCTGGCCTGCAAGGGCGCCGTGAAGGACCTCGAGGCTGGCAACGCCGGTCTGGTCGCCGCCGGCCTCAACACGACTGTCGTCCGGGCGGACGAGACAGACAGGCAGGTCCGTCTCGCGGCGGATCGCGTGACTGCGGAGAGCGCCGCCTTCCCGTCGTTCGTCCTGCGCAACGGCACCGTCTCGCCCGTCCTCGGTCCACGGGTCGCCGGCTCCTGGCAGGCCGCGCCTGCGACGGAGCCAGGCTGCGCGCTCTGGGCACTGTCCGGCGCCTGCGTGCGTGAGGCGCTGGCCAGTGTGCACGCCTAGCCTCGTCTCCCGTCAGCACAGTCTCCTCACGCCGCGCGGCTGAGGACAGGCGCTGGCCATGTACGTGGAACTCGGCTGCGCGCGTGCTTGCGTCGAGCACGGCGTTCGCTTCCAGCAGGCGGCGCACCGTAGGGAGAAGCCGCGGCTGGGCGTCGCCGCGGCGCAGGTGAGGGCCGCTTCCGAGACACCTCGCACTCCCCTCGCCCGCCACGCACGCCCGCCATCCGGAGCCCACCGCGCCACTCCACGACGCTTCATCGCCCAACCCGCACGCTCGCCTGCGCCAACCTCACCGCCGCCGCCATCGCCGCCGCCATCGCCTGCGCCAACCTCACCGCCGCCGCCATCGCCGCCGCCATCGCCGCCGCCATCGCCGCCGCCATCGCCGCCGCCATCGCCGCCGCCGCCATCGCCGCCGCCTCCACCACCATCCATCGCCACCGCCGCCTCCACCATCACCGCCGCCTCCGCCTCCGCCTCCACCTCCACCTCCACCTCCACTCGCGCTCACCACCCCTTCCTTCGGCGCGGCGAAGGTGGTGGCGGTGGCTGTCGGCGCGTGGGGTGCGACGGAGGGCGTGCTGCGCCTGCTTCCGCCCGAGGAGAAGCAGCCCGTCCGCGTCCTCTCCACCGCGCTGCTCGGCTCGCACTTTCTGGTGGCGGGGCTGTCGAGCTGCTGGCGAGGGGTGGTTGGGATGGGAGGCCTGTGGCTGCTCGATGACTCGGAGGTGGAGGTCAGCTTCGAGCCGCCGGACGAGGAGGCGGAGGGAGAGGGGGAGGGAGGCGGGGGCGGGGACGGGGACGGGGAGGAGGCGGTCAAGGGGGCCAGGGGGGCGGCGGAGGCGGAGGAGGCGGCAGAGGCGGGGGCGGCGGAAACGTGGCTGATCTGGGCCGTCTTCTCTTCGGGCGCGCTGCTCAGCCGGTCGCCTCCGCTGCTTGCCGCGGCGTTCGGTATCGCCCAGGCCTTCGCCGCGCTCACAGCGATCCACGCCGTCGGCGCGGTTTCGTGGAGCGACGCCGAGGACGGCGGCGGCGGCGGCAGGTCCGGTCGCGGCCTGCTGCTTAGCGCGGTCGTGCTCGCGGCGGGCGCTGTGGCGGGCGCATACCACGTGCTCCTCTCCGCGGCGTACATGCAAGTGATGGGGTCGGGCGTCCACGTGTCGGAGGTGATGGCCAAGAAGCTCTCCCTCGTCGGCGGCGTGGCGCTATGGGCCGCGCACGTCGCGCTCCCCACCTCGCGCCTGCTGTCCGACCGGCGCGCCGCGCGGCAGAGCGGCCGCTCGCCGCTCCCCCGCACCAAGCGCGACGTGGGCGGGGCGTCGGCCGGGGGCGGCTCCCCCTCCTCGCTGCTGTTGCTCGCCGGTCGACCCCTACTCGTGGGGCCGAGATCAGCCGAGATCAGCCGAGATCACCAAATCCCCCCCCCAACAGGTCGGATCCTCGTCGCCGGTCTGCTCGCCGCCGTCGGCGCCACCGAGCTGTGGCGCCTCGTCGACACCCCCTTCACCTCCTTCGACCACGGCGACGGCCACGACGCGCTCTACCTCCGCGCGCCTCAGCTGTTGCTGGTGCTGCCGATCGCGCTGGGCGCAGCCACCGCGCGCTCGTCCACGGCGCTCGCGCTGCTGCTGCTCGCAGAGGCGGCGTGCATATGGGCGCCCCGCGCGTGCACCATCGTCGCGACTTTGTACGTGGCCGACGCCACCGCCGTTTGGGCCGACCCTCAGCTCGGCACCGCCATGGAGCACCTCACAGTCAACCTGGCAGTCTGTGGAGCGCTGCTGCTGCTCCCCGCCTTTGGCTCCGGGCGCTTCTCTGTCGACGAGCTGGTCAAGAAGCAGGACTGACGCAGACGCGCCGTTACCCCCCCCTCTCCCAAATGCCAAAATGAAATAAAAGATAACCTGGGCATGGAAATAAAGGGGACAACAGTGCACAACCACTCAGGCGGTGAGAAATCGCCTATATATAACCGGCGGGCCACACGGCTCGCGCACGGTCTCACGCGCCGTGACTTCGAGTGACTCTTCGTCTTCCACGTCTCGCTCACGCTGAGAAAAATTCTGAAACGGCGTGCAGCAGAGTCACCAACGAGTCGGTCCGCGTGACTCCTCGTGTCCCGCACCGTTCTCACACATCCATAAGCTCACTTTGGCCTCACTGAAGCAAGCCCTCAATCCTGAATCCTCATATTTTAGATTAGGACGCTGTCGACCCTCTATCGCGGCGACCGGCGTCACGGGGACACGCGGGAAACAAGGATTTACACGGCGCCGGCGAAAACGGAAAAGATGTTGCGGAATCGGAGAGGTGCTTGGGGGTGGACTGAAGATTCGAGAGGTGGACAACCACGCCGCGCAGCTAAGCCGACGAGCCCATCTCCGAGATCCATCGTCAAATACCCGCCACACCCACGCCAGCATCGTCGCGTGGCGACAACGATGAGGGCGTGGTCGCAGCGGAGGCGCAGGGCGTCACCGACGGCGTCCTCCGTTGCACCTTGATGGTATGTGCACAGAGGAGCCCTCGTCTCAGAACACCGATCGCCACACATGCGGCCAGGGCAAGGAAGCCTGCAATCGGCCCTGCAACCGTGGCAATTGGTGCTGACCCTTGAGGCTTGTCTTGCTCGGGCGCTGACGGCGACGGCGACGGCGACGGCGGCGGCGACAATCGCGGTGGTAGTTGCGGCGGACTGGGGCGCGCAGACGAGTAGATGATCAGGTTTTGAGCGCCCGATGCCCATTCGCGACCCTGCTCCTGCGGGTAGCGGATCAGGCATCCCTTGTCGTCGTAATCCCGCTGCCCACTAACGATGATACCAACCATCTCGCGCCTCTCGGTCTCGAAGACGCCCGACCCAGACGAGCCGACAAACGCGTCCAGGTTTGTGGCGAAGCGAAAGGCCGGAGTACCCGGCCTGGCCACCTGCTGGACTTGTGCCTCGCCAGTGTACTTGCGCGGGAGGCCGTCGGGGTGGCCGATGCCCATGATGGGCATCCCGACCACGACCTAGTAGTAGTAAGCGACTCTTCAAGAAGAAGCAACGCCCATAACTGACGCCAAGCTACTGATCGGGACCTCCGTTTGAGCGATTCTGACGGGTGAGGCGATCGAGGCGGGGACGCTCTGGTCCAGCCGCACGACAGCCCAATCCTGCCCGCCGCTGGACACTGAGACCTCGACCGAGGCGCACGAATAGCGAAGACTGGAAGCAAAGTGGCTGCCGAGGACCATCGACTCGCTGGTGGCGCCGAATATAAAGTCAAGTCTGACGCAAAGGTGAGGCGCGATGCAATGCCCTGCGGTTGCCACCATGTTTGGAGCAATCAGTGTGGCGGTACAGCGGCCTGGAGTTGGCTGGTCGTTGAAGCGCACAGGATTGCCCTCGCAGTCGCCGTTCAGCCGAGAGGAGAGGGACCGCTCGTACCGGAAGACGCCATTGCTGTCAAAGACCAGAGCTTGCTTGTCGACCACCATCGCGGTGGCGTTGCCGACGACACGCCATTCCAGCGGCATCGCGCTGTGCTCCTTTCTAGAGTCGCCGCCGTAGATGGCCTTGATCACCATGGCCGTCGAGTTGGCAGGTGGCGAGCCGACTTCCGAGGTGGCTCCCGGACGCGCCTGCGACAGGACGCAAAGGGGCAACATGTCGTGTATCGCCCGGTTTCGGAAATTCACGAAAGGTGCTGACCTGCTTTCATGATAAGAAGTCCCCCCCGCACCCCCCCCCCCCAGGGGCGACGGAATGAAAAGGGCCGAGCTGTTCCGTGGTGTGGTAGTAGTGGTTTTGCGCGCGGGCTTCACCCTCCCACCCACCCCCCGCCCCACAAAAGGAAAAGATTTATTTAACCAAAACAACTTAACACAGCAGACAGGCTCGACACAGGCGCGGACGGGCACGTGCTGGTGCTAGGTGCTAACCACCAGCGGAGCGGCGGGAAAGACTTTTCGGGAAAGAATTCGAAAGACATGCGCCCCGTGCACCGAATCTGTCGATCGTGCGTCCTCCGCTTTGCTGTTCACAACCGAGATGCGGTGTGACGACGCCCCCGACCAGGAGGCGGCGGCTCGCCGAAGCGGCGTAGCCAAGGCGGCTGCGCCAATCTCTCGAGCGCCGTCCGACGCCTCCAGTAGCAAAGAGGCGTCGGGCTCTTCCTGCCTGGTTACGAACGTACCGGAGGGTGAACTGCTGACAGGGTTTGCGATGAGGAGGATCCGAACGTGGCATTCGGGTGATCAGATCACTACCGCCGAAGCGCAAGCGCTTGGATTTTTCAGTTTTTCTCGAAAGGAAGAAAGAAAACAAGCCTAGGGAGGGACGGGAGGACGGCACGCCGCCACCACAAAGCTCAAAGGGATTTTAATGCGAAAGAAAGAAAGAAACAGAGCGCGCAAGGGAGGGACGGGCCCCGCAAAGCACACCACCACATCACACAACACACAACAAGTGCTCGTCTTTTCTCCTGTCATGTGATACGTACATTCTTTTTTTCGCACGACACCGGGTACGGGACTGGCACTGCAAAGGCGACGGCTTAGAAGCCGTCGCCCTCACAGATGCCGTCCTCCTCACAGAAGGCGTCGTCGGACTGGTAGTCAGGCGGATGGTCGAATCCGCGAGCACCGTGGTGCTCGCCGAGAGGACCATCCCCATCATCCTCCGAGGGAGTAAAATTCTTTTTTTCACGTTTCGCGGGTGACGGGTTGACGGTTTGGAACAACGATATGGAGGTGTGTCTACCGTGCGATCCTCCGCTCGTGAGACGTCGGCTGGTGCCTGACGACCTCGACAAAAACACGCCAACGTTTCGGTGGACGCCGCCCGAGTTTGCCACCTGGGGCAAGGCGCGACAAGCAGCGTGGGAGGCGCTGCCGACGGCGGTGCGGCCAGCGCTCCATGAGCATGTTGCGCAGCCCGCTCTCCGAGCTCGTTTTGACCTCCGCCCCACTCGTCCCCGCCCCCCAGCCCGACGCCTACTGGTTCAGCTACCTCGGGCCGGGCGAGCGCGCGGTGACGGGCGAGTGGTCGGCTGCGGAGATGGCCGAGCTGCAGCACCTCGCGCTGGAGCACACGGAGAAGGTCGCCTCGGGCGCCTGGGGCCTCTTCTCGATGCACGTGTGGGTACGTGCACCCACCGTCGCGCGGCAGCGTCGGCGACCCGCCGCCGCGCCGCCACCTCCCACCCCTCTCCCTGCGCCTCCTTGTCTCAGGGCCGAACAGGGGCGCAGTGCAAGGCGGCGTATGAATCCCTCTCCTCAGAGCACGCCGGGACGCCCGGCGCCGTCCGCAAGCGTGCGGCCGGCCGGGGCTCGGCGACGGGCGCGGCGGGCGCGGCGGCCACTCCGCGGGAGCAGGGCCCTCGTTCGCTGAAGACCGCGCAGCAGGGCGAAAAGGCGGCCCGGCCCAAGGCGGCGGCGGCGGCGGCGCCGCCCGCCGGCGAGTCGCCGCTCGTCGGCTCTGTCCTCACGTTCGGCGATGCGGGGGCGGCGCCGGCGCCAGCCGGTGGCCCCGAGGCCGGCCGCTCCACCGCAGCGAGGTCGGCGCCTGGGGCCGTCAGCGCGCAGCCACCGTCACGGTCACCGAAGCTCGACGCTCTTGCGATGGCGGCGCTCGAGGCTTGCGACGAGGTGGCGTCGCCGCAGGCGCCGACCCCGATCGCGACGGCCGCGCCGCTCGCCGCCGCGACGCCCTCGTCCACGGACGTCCTCGCCGCCGCCGCCGCCGCGCCTAGCCAGGCGGTTCGACGGGCGGCGGCGCTGATGGCGGCGGCGGCTGGAGGTTTGCTGCCACACACGGCGCCCACATGGCTCACCCCAATGATCCGCGCCTCGCACCTCGAAGGCCACGGGGCTCCTGCCCGTCTCACGGGATGTGGAGGAGAGACGGGGAAGGCCGCAGACTTTGGACACATCACCGACACATCACCGTCGCCACCTGCCCTCAGGCACCGCCACCGCCGCCCCCGCCGCCCCCGCCGCCCCCGCCGCCGCCCCGGACGACTCCGCGGCCCGCAAGCGGCGCAAGGTTGGCGAGGGGTCGGCGCCCGCGCCGTCGATGCTCCCCCCTCCTCCTCGCGCGCCTCCGCCGCCGCCGCACGCTTTCGATCGCGATGCGGGGCCGCTCGACCGTCAGGCCACATTCCGCACAACCCCTGCTGCCCTACCTCCCCAACCCTCCCCCCCAACCCTCGCCCCCAACCCTCCTCCCCAACCCTCCTCCCCAAC